ATTTTGAAAAATATTTTTAATTTTTCCCAAAATTTTGGGGGGGGAAAAAAAAAAAAAAAAAAAAAACTTCGATAGCTTACTAAACTTTGAAAAACATTTTCAATTGCTCACTGAACTATGGTTATCGAATTTTGAGCACTAAACTTATAAAAATTACATCGATTATTATTCGTTAAAAAATGTGTACCACGATAAAAACTTTTGTAACAACAAAACAAAATAAATTTAAATTTTTCAAATAATAAAAATATTTTAAAATTTACAAAAATATGTTAAAATTAAAGCTAACTATTGCATAATTGAGTAATCATTTATCGTTGGATCAACAATTCGAACCCGTACACAACTTGTGTGATTGCAGTACACATTTTTTAATGAACATGCTGATGTCATTTTTATAAATTTAGTGACCAAAATTCGACAATCGCAAAGTTTAGTAAGCAATTGAAGATATTTTCAAAAATTTAGTAAATTATCGAAGACATTTTTTAAAGTTTAGTAACTAATCAAAGACGTGAAATTGTTGACGACATGACAAGATGCTAAATGTGTATTCTGTTGGTCATGTCACTAACTCTGTTAAAGATTGAAACAACGTTAGGTCAATGAGTAATGTCCAATGTTTGTATAAGTTTAGTAGTCAAAATTCGACATCTTAAACTTTAATGTGTAATCGAAAACATAAGTTCATTGACCATTGGGACAATCAACTCATAATTTACATAACAAAATATTCAACAAAATAATCACACCTCATAAAGCAGTATAGACTCAGCTAATGAATAATGCTATTTATCCCTCATAAATATTCAAGCATAGTGGCTCCCTAGTAAAAGGTCCGTGACGAGTTAGTGGGATTATCACTTGACCTTTTATGATAGATATACTATCTTCGCATGCTGTGTCAAGAGGCTCTTTTTTTGAGCAAAGCTTTATACAGAACATAATAAAAAACACCTAGCAACATATCTAACTTTATAATTTGACATAGCAATAATACAAAAGTTACATCCTTGTCTGCCTATTCCAAAGCCAAGCCACTCATAGATCTTACCAGAACTTCAAATTGTGGCACTGCAACGAGTCGGATGGATGAGAATTGCATATAGAAAAGCAATATAATTGATGAATATAACATTCCTCACAGGGTACTCACCTGAACGAACCCCACTGGCGCCTGTTCAGCGGAGACTGATATCAACAAAATTCCCATAACCAGTAAAACCTAAACAGCTGTAGTACATTTCATTCCAGTTGTGAGTGACAAAAGGAGAGTAACTGTAGCAGATACAGGTAATGTCATTAACATTAGACTTTAGAGTTAGATTTGGTGCACGTTTCAACTGCAGGAATTGGTTCTTCTGTGTTTCCGATGTTGCTCAGACATGGTGGCTTGGCAGCTCCATAGTAAAAGAATGCCATTATCTTTGACAACTCATCTGCTGTTCTGGCCCCTGGACACCAAGTAAAAGAAAAATACATTCAGATAATGTAAATATGTAATCAATGATATATTAAGGTTTACATCATTTTACCATTTTCACGGTATAGGATTTTCCCAGCTTTAGTGAAAATGAGCTCTGGGAAGCCCGAGACTTGTAGAGCAGAGACCAAATCAAGCTCCAGAACAGCATCAATGGCAACACACTGTTTGTTAATGCCCATTAGTATATATAAAAAAATGAGATGAACATAATTAACTGAAAATTTTACTTACTCTTGGTGATGGTAGCCTGCAATTCCATATGATGTGAATAGCTTTCTCCAATTCATCCCGAATCCTTCCATTTTCCTTCGGTCTGCAGAATTGAAATAGTACTTGTGATTATCAATGTAAAGGACAAAAAACAATTTACCCTACGTGTTTTTGCAAGTTTCTGATTACATTCATTTGGTTTCAAAAGGTAAGAAACGTCCTTGAATCATAAATTTAAGCAATAGCCCCTTTGATCAAGTTCATTAACGTCTTTACACAGATGATTGAAGGTATCATGTAAACTTTAAGAGAATGGAAGCTAGGAAACTGTAAAAATGTACAAAGTAAAAGGCTATCGAAATCAAAAGAGATTTCAGTAGTAATCATATTACAGGACTTGACAGATTCCACAATGAATGTCGAGTATACTGGAAAGCACTGTCCAGAAAGTAAAAGGTTCTATACTGAAATGAGAGATCCATCCTTGTCAAAGTCAAAACTAGAACAATCCACCAAAACCCCTTAAAGTTCTACCTCCGCCACACTGGACACCAAATCTCATTGTGCACTGGCAATAGGCATCACTTGAACTCTTCTTGATATCATCATCAGTTCATTTACCTGACTTTCACCATGGGGACATGGCTAATGGCTAAGAAGCACAGACACGGACGCAGCATATGGACACAGACATGTCAACTTAAATTCTTTAAAATTTTAGACCAATATATTATATCATCATCATCATTTCATTTATTTCCCTTTCTTTCTATTAGCCAAATATAGCTATTATTCAATTTTGTGTTTCATCTTTTGCAACCCAAATATAGCTATTGTTAAAATTTCCGTTTCTTCTCTTTAGTTTGTGTGTGCATGCAACCCAGAGTTGAGGAAACAGAGTTGAAGATCGTGACAGCAAATACCAACTTGGAGATAAAAATAATTAATGGAAACAGCGTTGAGGAAAATGAGAGCTGACCTTTTATAGCGATTGTGAACAAGAACAATTAAAGGACTGATATCCTTAAACACAGCCTCTTCCCACTCTGCAGAGGTGATGTCTTTGATAGGACGAATATAATCATCATCCTGCCATACTAATTCATTATCACTATTGTAATCCTCATCATCATCCTTCTTGACATTCTTTATGGTGATCTTGTTGAAGAACTGATCCAAGTTGAAACCCCACCCATCAGCGTTCTCAGACCAATCTGGATCGTCCTCCTCCACCACAAGAGGATATTCAGCCAAAAGCTTTTGCATCTTTTTCCTTCTCTCGACAAGGTCAACCTCTTCATCAACATCAGGAATTTTATCGATGACTTCTCTGATCTTTTGCCTCCACTCTTTCCTCTCTTTTTCATCCATGAGACGGTTATCATCATTCTCCTCCTCTGCCTCACTCCCACTGGATTCATCTTCTTCCTCTTCCTTCCCACCACGTAGCCTAAGTAATTCTTCTATTTTAGAGACTCTTATACCACTTCTTCTAATACCATCCCCCTGTTGGCACAGTCCAAATCATAAATCATACGCTTATAATATGACAATAACAAGAATAGATATATGTCTAACCGCAAATGAGTTTATACTTGGTGAAGAAAAGAGTAGGAAATATGTACCCTTAAAGGTGACCTCAAAAGTTGTCGAGCGGAGAGGTCCAAAGACTCCATTCTCAATGACGAACATGAAGTGCTGCCCTGTTTCTTTCTCCACGTACAAGAAGCCCCATCAATTAAGCATTTTTCTTTCACATAAGTAAACTGAAATTGTGGCTTCAAGTTCAGCTGAAACAATTCCATTGGCTCCACATTCACAATTGCAGTTATCCTTCAAATTTACATTCGTATCAAAATTACATCAAGCTGGAATTAATCCAGAGATAAAGGAAACATACCTATACATTATGTTAAGGATATGGAAAAATTTTCTTCATATTTTTTAGAGGTCTTTAAAATAAGATAATACTAGAAATCGAATCAGACAAATGAAACTAATTTTTATCATATTAGTATGTGAAAACGCAGAAATTATTAGTATTTTTTTCTTGATTTTGATTTGAATGACAGGACATGGAAATCTTTTTAGGTGAAACAATATCACAAACACCCACAAGGCAAAACTTGAGATTTGAAGACCCAAAAGCCCCCTCGGTAATCAACAGAAATTTACAGACAATTGGCCATATGAACAAACGGCCAGAAAAGAAATTTTGAAAACAGTAGATATCTGATGAAAGAAGGCTTGCTGCCAGAGATTAAGCAAAGTGCTGAATCATAACTAAGAATAACCCATGAACAATTTACACTTTTTTGTTTAATCAACTAATAATTAGCTGCTCAAATCTCTTATGTAATTACCTTCTTCTGTTGCTGACAAAAATGCAGCTGGTACTAATTGAAGGGTACCGAAGAACTTATCTTGCAACCGCGACAACCCTGTCTTATAAACAAAATGGTGCATTAATAACAAAATTCTATTTATGGATTTGTGGAGATTTGTGGATAAAAATGAAGCCTATATTTGGAAAATACTCTCTTGAAATTTAAAAGTTACTTTCACTCAAAGTGAAAATTGTTGGAATTGGCTCAAAAATAGTGGAGAATTAGTTAAGTGGAAAAGTGGAAAATGAGATGGTGTGACTTCGTGTCAACTTCAATCAAATATTCAGATTTGATTCGATGGTCAAATTGTAAAAGTAAATAGACCAACTTATTTTAATCATTGAATAGATAGTCGTGGTATATTTGAAATCTCGAAATCAATTCCGAATGAATGAGAAATTGCGGTCTAAAGTTGGAAGAAATGAAGTGTCGCAACTTTTCGAAATGATGCGGGTTTTGGCAAAGTGTTGCTACTTTTTTTTGAAAGAATGCATGTTTTGGCTCATACTAATTCATTTGCACCATTTCTATATCTATAAATTGGACCCTATGAATATGATTTTGAGTACACCAATTACATTGAGCACTTATTCTCCTCTTACAATTCTCTCATTTCTATTTTTATAGCATTTTCATGTATTTTCTTTGTAGAGGGGAAATTCTATCAAAAATTCGTCGATTTCTTATGATTTGAAATGTTGTTACCACAAGTTGTAAAAATATTGTATCTTAGGAAACAAGTGTCATTCACCGTGAGCACCATAACCGGGCAATTTATCTTAAGGAAAGAGATAACGTTTCGCCTTGGATTATTCTCTATTTTCTACTCTTTCTTAATTCTTGTTTTGCGTAATCAATTACCACATTTATATAAATCGAAACTCTGTCCAAATGTCTGTTCATATAAATTGTGTTTTGATCACGTTTTTGCAGGTTAAAACTGATCGAACAAATATATCAAAAACCAACCCCTTCATAGTCTGTTTCTATAAGTCGTCTCCAACAAAAAATTAATTTCAACAACTCCTTCAAAATTATTACTCATTATTATCATACATTTAACATTCCCTGCAATTATTCCTACTAAAAAATTACTAATAATCTTTTCTGAAACAATTTATAATTATGAGTTGAACATAGGCTAAGTTTCAAATTTCATCACTTAATTTGTTGTCTGCCAAATAAATGAAAATTGCTTCATTGGAAGGCATATTAATCTTCCACATACTGTATAAATGTCAATTTATTACCATGTCAAGTTTAAAATATCAAAAAATATTCATTTTAACCTTCTAATTTAGAATAATGCTCCTTGTACCGGGTCAATGATAATGATAGAGGTGCCGGATGATGTGGCAAATAGTGATTGGGTGATTGAGTGATATGTTTTTTGTTTTCAGACTGTCCAATCATATATTTACACTGATTCTTTTTTTCATTGAATCTGTCACTATAGCAAAATTGTCTAATTTATAGATATTGTTATAATCCTCAATTTATCATTTTTATTTATAATGCGTATAATGGCAATTAAGTGCATATTCGAGAAAATTATAAATTCTTTATAATTTGAAATTAAAGTTAAATATTAATTTTAACTACGTAATCGCAACTATTATTTATTTATTAACCATACATTTCGTGGAATTCAATACCTCTCTTCATTAAAATCTCATTAGAATTTTTTCCAAATGAGCACTAATTGAAAAATGAAGGTCAACTAAGCAATTTTCATTAGCTTAATGGATTGTAGAATCATAGATGATGCAGGTGGTGAATTTTGAAATTAAATTGAAGTTCAATGAGCTAATCAAGACAAAGTAAAGTATAGTGACGCAACTGTCATTTCACTAAAAGTTCTATGACCCCGAATCAAATTTATACATGATATTATAGTTCTTCAAGGAAGGAAAGAGGGGGAAAAAAAAAAAAAAAGTCATCTTAAAATTTTAAGAATGAGTTGGGTATCCATTAGGGAATCTGGTGCACTAAACGCACAATAGAAATCATCTATGTGATTTTTCAAAGTAAAAAAACCATTTTTAAAATTCAGTAATTATGTAATTATCTGTATTATATATTTCTTTGGATACAAAACTCAGCAAGTTGCCACTTACGAATATTTCTTTGTACATATCATTGTTAGGAGTTGGCCACCATTCTTGCTCCGAGGATTACAGCAAAGATAGTCAATCGTTTAGTTGTGATTAGAGATGTACAGCAAATTTAACTGAAATGATCCGAGTACATGCTACATAATACATATGGAACTAACACAGTTCACATTTAAAAAATGAATCTAATACGTTATCAGGTACCTACAAACATGTCGGACAAAAACATCCAAACACACCGACACAACATCGTCTCAATAAAACAGACATCAAACCATCTTTATATACATTTTGCACTATTCCATATTTTCAGTTAAATAAAAACAACTAAAAAAAATTCGAAAACTCAGAAACTACGAGAAAAAATCACACAGGCGCAGAAGTTTATCAAGTAAATGATTCGTCTATCATCAAGGGATCATCATCATCATCATATAATGAGGGAAGAAGCCAATTGAAGAAGCTAAGTTTGGTTTGTTTCTTCAATTTCTGCCTCGAATACTCGACCAACATTTCCCAAAGTTCTCCCACGGTCCATTGTTGGGATATAATCCATGCTACTACCTTGTCAAGCTTCCTCAAAGTTTCCAAACCAAATGTGTAATATAAGACGAAAGGTCTCAGTGCTTGAGATGCCGCTAGCCACTGAATTATGGTTTTGACTTCAGGATCTCCTCCAAAAGCACCACAACCCCAATTCCCAGTTGCAATACCAACATTATGGTCATTCCACTTCCGCTCGTTGTCCCTCATTGGCTGGTTATTGGAAGTTTCAAAGGTTGATTGAAATGAAGTCGAAAGATTTTCCATGGAATTTCCAAGAGAGTTTCTAATGCCTTCATCAAACTCGGCCTTGGAAAATCCAGAGTCTACAAACAGATTTTCATAATGCTGTCTTTTGGATTGATCATAAAAGCCACAGAATGCCTTATTAATCTCTCGGAGAAGGCATTCCGTTGTGTATTGTCTCTTACCGACACGGGACAATGCGTCTATTGCAATTATCCTTGTCTTACGCCTTCCCATTGAATCGACACCCTTGACGTCCTTGTAGTTGCCACAAAAGCAGAATGAAGAAGCATATCCAGAGTAATCGGAGAATCTCTGTGTACCAATAATTTCAATAGCCTCATTGTCTGCCATTGCAGGCGAGAAAAGCATGCCAACAATCAATTCAGGATTGATCATAAAACGAATCTCTTCCTGTACACAGCCCCGGCGAAGAGCACCACCTCCTATGCATTTATTTGCAAAATCTACTTCAAGAGCTTCAGCGGGTTGATCTTCAATCAAACCAGAACTGTGAACCTGCCAGACAAAAAAGGAAAAAGAAACTGGTACCAAACGTGGGACATACTTGATGCATTTGCAAAATTTTAAAAGTTTTTTCTTAAACCTACTCACAAAATAAACTGTAAAATGAAATGTAACATAGCAGTTCCTTATGTGCGCAGGGGGATAGTTATAAAGAGACCGAGAACTCAATTGTAAACAGGTGATTCTTTAAGAGTAAATTATTGCTAATATTTTCAAAAATTTCTTTTTCTAAATCATACAACTTGATTAGAAATTATTTTCAATTTTTGCATCCCAGATAATAATGATCACACATATTTTGTCATTATTTCGATACGAATATTAATATATGCTACATGCTGGTTCCACCACAGAACCATTTGACCCACCAGCTGGACCAGTAAGCCCGCCCGATCGATCTTGTAAGATCGGCTAATTCAAAGGGGTTAATCTGATCTGAAGTTGTCGGAACAAGTCGTTTGCTTTATTGAAAAAAAGCTTTATTTTGACCATCTACGTAGCCCTTGACAGGTTTGATCTCCAAGGACCAGGCTGGATGAGTATAGCAGCCATGTCCAATAACGGTATGACTGCTCTAAACAAGAACTTGAACTTCAAAGTGAAATAAATTCTAACACTAGATAAATATTGATTAATCGGTCAATACCTCCAAATGGCAAAGGGGGACGCTAGACTTGCTCCAAAAATTAGCCTTAGGGAAAGAAATGTGGGATGGCCTATTTGTCAGTGGAAGAACTTTTCGTTCAAAAGAGACATTTCCCATAGGCATACGTGAGCATATCTCCTCAAAATAGTGAACAATGCATTTTATCTTATTTTCCTGTTTCACATCATGGAAGTCATACAAACTCCTGAAAACACAGAGGTTAGATGAATCCGTTCTGCTTCAACAAAATATAAAAAAGGAAAAAAGAAAGAGAGAACTCCAATAAAGAAAATTGGAAATTACTGCTTCCTTGTTATGGTGACTGTCCATAACTAACAAATAGCCCCCAGATGATATTAGTCATTAGATTAGACTCCTGCTCACAATTCATTTTGCCCCCGTTTGGCCCCCATTCTCCTTCTCATTCTTTTTCTTTTTCTTATTTTCAACCACACAATCTTCCATAAAATAATATTACACACAAATAAAAAACTTCTCATTCTTTTTCAACCACACATTTTAAAAAAAAAAAAAAAAAAAAACTATTCCAACCATTAAAATTTGACAAGAATGGGGGCCAAAAGGGGGCTTAATCTCAATCGAACAGTAATATAGTTCAACAATCTTCAAGAAAAACAAAAGGGGGGAAGACCAAGGGTGGTATGTCAATGATCGCTTGTTCCAGATAA